GGGAGGACTTGAAACCCTTGGCACACACAGAGAGAGAGAGAGAGAGAGAGAGAGAGAGAGAGAGAGAGAGAGAGAGAGAGAGAGAGAGAGAGAAGGTTGTGGAGGTGGAAAAGGGAGCAGAGGAGAGAATGAAAAGGAGGTGAATGCGAACGTAGAAAGGATAGAGGGTAGGAGAAGATGGCGGTGTTTTCCAATGGGAGACTTGTTCGGGTGGCAGGGAACGAAGGGCTTGCAAATTATTTGTTCAATTTGTGCACAGAGCTTGATCAGAAGGAAGGCAGCAAGGAAGGGCTAGTATGCACACTTCACAAAGCTTGGAGAAATGTCTGCGACCATAAGGAGGAGATCGGCACGCATGCAAGCCTCGGCAAAGTCAAGTGAGTGTCTTTTGGCACCCCCCGGTTTCTTGGGCTTAGGGTTTCATCCTGGTTCGAATGGTGGTCCTAAACGTTTCATCCTGGTTCGAACCAGGTTCGAACCAGGATGAAACGCACACCCTTGCTTTCCTGAGGTGTGCGTTTCATCCTGGTTCGGACCGTGGTCCAAAACCTGGTTCGAATGGTGGTCCTAAACGTTTCATCTTGGTTCGAACCAGGTTCGAACCAGAGGATGAAACGCACACCCTTGCGTTCCTGAGGTGTGCGTTTCATCCTGGTTCGAACCGTGGTTCAAAACCTGTTCTTCCTCGCTGGGCTTTCTTATTCCTACCCAAGTTTTCCAAAACTAGAATATATTTTCGGTCAAGGTATACATCTCCATTTTGGGGTAGATTTCACTATTCATTTTAATTTGGGGGGTGATCTCCGCCATCTGTTTTGGATCAGGAGAAAGGTTGCATTTTCCATTTCCGTTCTTGGGTTGGTTTGGTTGGAGTGGAGTGGTGTGGGGTGGGGTGGTGTGGGGTTTGTTATGGGGTGGATGGGGTGGTGTGGGGTTTGTTATGGGGTGGATGGGGTGGGATGGGGGTTATGATGGGGTGGATAGGGTGGGGTGGGGTGGGGTGGGGTGAGGTGGGGTGGATTTTCCACTAATCCGTTATGAGGGGGGGGGTTTGGTGAACCATTTGCATTTTGGTGTGGGGTGGATTGGATTCCACTATTCATTTCTGTTATGTGGGGCGGTTTCTACTGATCCATTTTGGGGGAGGATTTTCACGATTTATTTCCATTTTGGTATGGATGTAATGAACCCAGTCTTGGTGTTGAGAAGCGTATCAGCAACGCAATAGAAGTCTGAACCCAGCGTGACTCATGAGTCTCCAACAACAATCGCAAGTCCATGTTACGATTATGTGCACAATTCCGGAGTATTGTCTTGTCAAAGAAGAGCATGAGAGAATATCAAGAGGAGAGAAAAGACAGAGAAGAGGAGGAGGAGAATCTCAATGATAATCAATAGTGCATGTATGTCTCCCTCTCTTCCACTCCCACTTCGGGCTTCTTCCCTATCGCTACCTCAGCAGTGTACGTTCCTTCTGACGTCCTCTGACATAATCACTCTGCAGATCATCACAGGGCGCCCATCCTCCCTCCACATTAGCAATCAGATATGGATGATGGTGCAACACTTTTCACCTTCGTGGAGACAGCAGCAGATCACACGTGTCGTCGCCAGGTAAGTCCAGGTAAGCTTCTCCTCATCTCCTGTCAGTTTAACAGCCCTGATCCTCCTCCTCCTCGCCTATCCTCATCACCTAGTCTTCACCCACGCGGCTATGGTCGCGCCAACATAATCTCCCTCTAGGCTGGCGCCCACCAGCAGCATCTGCTGGCGCCAGAACGCAGCTCCAGCAGCCTCACGATACAGCACTAGCATCAAGCCAGCGCGCGGCCAAATGATCTCCATGGGGTCTGGTCAACGCTTTATGGGGTTGACTCGGGTTTACCAGCCTCCACAGGTTGACCAGCCTCCAGTCTCCTTGGGTCGACGGCGCAGATGAATAGGAAGCCAATGGCCGTCCAGATGCAGCGCAGTTCCCAATTTCGCTTTTGTCCCATTTGGACTGGAATCTTCTGCATACCTGCAGACAACCAATGATGCGCATCTGATCGACGGCCATGGCTTGGGTGACCAGCGGGGTTGACTTTGACTTTGGACCTGATTCTCCCCGTGCTGAGTCTGACCGTTGAATTTCCAAAAGTCAACTGTCTCTCGTGGGGGGTCTGGACCCAGTTTTTGACTCAGGCCAGGGTATCCCAAGACCCTAGGTCCTTTTTCTCAGACATTGTGCAGGCTTGGGACGTGCCTTTTTGACCCTGTTTCAGGCCCTTTGACCAAAAGTGACGACCCTTAGCCCGCGGCAGTGCGGATTTGAATTTTGAACTGAGTTTAGTGCATGGATTTCATTATCCATTTAAGGTATGTGATGGTTTCCACTATCCATTTTAGGAATTTGTTTTTTCACTATTGATTTCTGTTTGGGCTGGATTTCAATATCCCCCTTTCAGGTATTCCCAATATCCATTTTGGGGCCAGGTTTTTCACTATTTGTTTCCGTTTTACGTGGATTTCACTATCCATTTCAGGTATACGGTGGTTTTCACTATCCCTTTTGGCGCAGCTTCGTCACTCTTCATTTCCGTTTTTTTCTGTGGATTCCACTATCTATTTTTTGGGGGGAAAGGCAGGTTTCTCGATCTCATTTGCACTTCGGCATTTTCGGGGTTTTGAAAACCCATTCCTCTCTTTTGAGAGAATGCTGGTTTAGACTTTAAAAAACTTCCAACTTCAAAGTAGGTTTTACGTCAAAACTTCAGACTCGCGAGGGAAGTACCTTTGTGTGTGTGCAACGGATGCCAGACATAAATTGGTCTGATCGACATGCCATAAATGTTTTCCTGCCATAAATTGGGGGCTTTGAGTGTAATCGATATCTCGGAAGATTTGTGTTTCACGGGGCTTTGATTATCAGAAAGATTGTCTTTGCGACTCTGAAAACTTCACTGACCCTTCCTTTTCTTGCTCATTAGATGAGAGGCTCACCGCTTCTTGAGAGTCCTGGGTGCCAAATTACAGAGCGGGTCCCCGGTTGGCACGCACACAGACACTCTCCTCAAGAAGTGGGGAGTGATTGTCTTTATGATAAGAAAGAGATCCTGTGAGTGATTCTGCAATCAGCAGATCACAGGCACACACAGCTCCTGGGGGGGTTGTGAAAAGACTGTGTGGGGCTGTTCGTTTGCGAACATGCAATCTAAATCTTATGTTGACACTCACAGGACTAGAAACTTCAAACGGAATGACAGAGGCCTCCAACTGTCCGATTGTCAGTTTCGTGGGTGCCTCTGAAGATAGCTGAGGTTGAATCAGGTGCTGCTGACTAGTCATCCAATAGTTCGTTTGTTTGTGTGTGTGTGTGTGTGTGTGTGTGTGTGTGTGTGTGTGTGTGTGTTGGATTTGCACCATGACAGCCACTATTCCACCCAGATCAGTAGATCCAAATCGAAGCAGCTGTAGTCCTATTGCAGACAACGAAAACACTTGAGTTGAGACCAACCGACAGTGAAACAGTTTTACCTCTATAGCAAGCAACATGGATCACAATAGATCCGTTTAGATCCCTTTCTTAAGTGCGTTTACTTTTGCTGTCTTTGGGGTACCCCATTGCAGCTCCCCTTTTACTATGCCTCTCGCGTACAGGCCTGGCCACAGCTGGCCACATCCCTGTGTGCACACTTGCACGTTATGAAAGGAGGCAGAGTAAAAGGGGAGGTATACTCCTGTTCATTTCATTCCTCTGTGTGTGTGTGTGTGTGTGTGTGCACTTGTGCGCACGAGGTTATTTCATTCGATTAGGATGTGATCCGTCAACTTGATTAAATTGTATGGCAGTGATGCATTAGTGAAAAACACTGGAAAGAGATGATTCTTCTTTATTCATTTTGCTGTAGGGTAAGCGCTTATCTAAGGGCATACTCACGGTAGGGACAGTGAACCCTAAATTGTATCCAGCCATAACTAAGGTCACGTTCAGTAGAGGAAGTCCTGTTAGAGTATGCCCTAATAATCTAGTCATAATGCCTACCTATCCTCAAGTTAATTAATTCCATTGTCATCACTCTGATGAGTCTGATCTAATGGCTTTGGGTAATTTTTGTTTGGCAGGGGAATTGGAAAGTGGGTGTGCCAGCAGGCCAAGAAATACTATGAAGAGAACAACCTGGAGCTTGGCTATGATGACATTTCGCAGACGGAAAATGGGCATGGGGCGAGTGCAAGCGCTGCCGGTGATCAAGTGGCAAACGGCGGTGAGTTAAGGCGTACTACAACAATCAGATACGACTTCCGAGGATGTAGTAGATAGATGAAAAGGTCTGCTTTTATGGCCAAATACATGCAGTTTTGAAAAAAAAATAGTGTGCGTATGTATATGACCTTAGGCAATAAATTTTGAAAATGGGACTGATGTTGAGGTAGTCCCTTGCGAGGAAACTTTCCCTGGCTGCCTATTTCATGTGAGAGCCTGCTCTAACAATGCCACGAGGAGGAGGGCTCTCACTCTGCACTCTACTGAGGTGCCCTGGGTGCTGCACTGAGCTTTTTTCCCACCCTCAACCTGCACAGACCTTTCAAAGCAATAAAAGAAAGAAAAGACAAAAAAAGGGAAAAAAAGAGGAAAGAAAAAAGCGAAAATGAAAAGTCAAGGAAATTTAACTCACCTGTGTGCTATTGGAACAAAGACCGACTGATGAATGTTGGATGTCTGGCATTAGAATTTAGAACCTCAACGACATGTGCAGCATCAAGATGGAAAAAAGGAGGATAAAAATACTGAGCAAACTACCAAACATTGCGAAAAAAAAGAGGACAAATGGGGGTGTGAATTTGCTCCAGCGTCCACACACACCTCACAGCATCTGTGTGTGTATGTTTCGGTGTGTGTGGTCAGGAGAGTCAATGTCTACACCTTTTCCCCCCCTCCTTTGTAGGGAGGGGGCGGGGGGCGAGAAGGCCCTGCTGTAATATCTTTGTCTAGCGCTTTGTAAAGAGACCAGATCGAAAAAGGTGTCCGGTACAGTCCGTACTTCACTACTCTTTGTTTGTTTTTGTTTTTTTTTCTCCCCCCCCCAGATCCTTATGGTTCTGGCTCCTTTTCCATTCTGGGGAGCATCAGTCTGGATCCTTTTCCACCAGCAAGTCATAAAACTTTGCAATAAATACACACTCCAAAAAAGTCATAAAACAGTATTGAAACTTGCAATAAATACACACTCCAACACTTGTAGTCTTCTCCCCATTATGGTTGAGAGATACTAGCGGGCGGCATTGATTACTTACTTCTGGAAGAATGTACCTCCCCTCACCCCTGCCTAAATTAGCCTGTTAACACTTCCTTGTAACCTCCAGACCCACTACTCTGCTGTTGTTCGTGTCCAACTGGTACCATAATGTATATATTTTTAATTAATTTATTTATTTATGTATGTATTTCAAACAAAGCAGAATCATTTCATTCATGAATTGAAATTCAGGGCCGGGGACCATGGACGGCTTTCGGTTAGGGAGGATGGAGTCTTAAATGGTACACCATATAATGTATGGAAGATGCTAAATGTCGGAAACGAAGTCACAATCGAGGGGATCAGACTCCAGAACCTAGAAGATATAGACCGAGAGATCTGTGGGGCCTGCCACTCAGAGAGGAGTTGGTGAAGTAATGCAAAAACCCATGACAAACTGAACAGCTTTTGCCTCAGGGCCGAATCAAAATTCCTTACCAAATTGAAAATAAAAATTAGAAGTTAAAAATATATATTTTATTATTTTTTATTTCTATTCTTTCTTGGGCCGGGCTACTGTGGTAGCATAGGACAGAAACTCTGCCGGTGATTTTCACGCTTTCTGTGCCGGTGATTTTCATTGATTTCTGTGCCGGTGATTTTCATCGCTTTCTGTGCCGGTGATTTTCTTTGCTTTCTGTGCCAGTGATTCTCATCGCTCTTTCTGAGGTTTTGAATGCGTGTAAGAACCTACAAGTTTTGTGGTTGACTGTTATTATTTACTTATTTCTGTTGTTCTTTTGTTTTGCATTCTGTTTCCAGAAACACAGCAGAAAAAAGGGAGGAGATATTTACCCAAGATTAATTCTGCTCCTTTTGCTCTTCTCATTACTCTATACAGGTGATTCCGAAAACTGCACCAGCCTTGTTGTTTATCCAATTTCTTTCAGTATCATTTCCGTTTCTTTTTCCGTTGTCGGCCTGTTTCCTTGCTTCCTCCCCTATTCCTCTACTTCCTCCCCAACTTCCTCCCCTGCTTTGTCCGTGGCTTCCTCCCCTACTTCCTTACTTCCTCCCCTTGGACCTCCTGGCCTCACTTATTCTCTTCCTTATTCCCCACCCCTCCCTTTCTCTCGTCTTCACTCCATTGCTGCCTTGCTGACTACTGTCTTAACTGGAAAAGAACATACATACGTTCTATTTGACTTTCCTCTGAAAAATGGGTCCCCAGAAATCGCTGATTTTTTTTTTCCGAATAGAACGTACGGTTGAATACAACCTACGGTCAAATGTAACGTAGGTATGTTGTACTCGAATACCCCGTACGTTGTATTCGAATGTTTTGGAAACTTTGATTAAAAAACAAAATCCGGAAAAAAAAGTTGTACAGTATTGGAATACAAACAACTTTTGCCTGAACTAAGTGAAAACGCCTGCCACAGAGTTTCTGAGCAATTTGGCCATTCACTACGGAAGTGCAGTAACCCGTGTTCCGCAGCAGTCTGGGGGCCCGAAACTGCGCCCAGACGACACAGGCCAAACACGGCCTGCGCCAGGCAGTGCGACCACGCACTGCCCCCTGGAAAGTCAAGGGTCCAAGTCAACTGTCAGGTCAAAGGTACCGCGCCCAGGCCCTTGGTGGGATACACTCACTTGTTGTGCGCAGGTACCCAGACAGCATCAAGGCCGCAGGGAATTCTGTTTCAGGCCAATCTGGGCCGTCGTTTGCGTTGAGATCTCGACGGCTGAGGGATGCAGCACCTGGGGTCCAGACCCCGCATCAACGCTACATAAGCGTTGACCTCCTGGCTTCGAGGAACATTCTGTCTTGCATCAATGCTGACTTCACGCGTTGACAACGACGCTAGCTCGACGCTGCGACGCTGGCTGGACGCTGGCTCTACGCTGGCAACTGGGCGAACTACGGCGACGCTCTGCTGGCTCGGCATAGTGGCTGGCTTGCAATTGTCTTCTGGGCATGCTGACGTGGCAGCTGCCATGCGCCGCCGCTGATGTGGCCGCTGCGACGTATATTATTATTGTTGACGTGGCGAGGCTATGCGACTGGTATTGCTGTTCTGTTTCGACGACATTCGGGAGGAGATCATGACTGTGGGGTGATAGTGGATACGTACCTGGTTATCTTGACGTCGACATTGCTCCAGCTTGCTGATGAGGACTGGTTGACGTGCCACGAGGCACATTGTGTTAGAACTTCAGATTCGCGTTCAGATTATTGATTACTGAGGTGGTGATCGAGGAGGGCGCCCGAAGGAGAAGTGGGCATTGTCTTCTATTTTCTTTCTAAGTCTATTCTCCCTCCTCTCTCCTTCGTCTGTGTATGTTTTCCCATCTCATTCTATCCGGAGACGATTATGATTATTGACAATCATCAGCAGGTTGATATTCATCTGGGCTTGCATTGTTGACAAGTGTCTTCATGATCTGGTTCATTGCAGGAAGCATGTGGGATGTCGAAAATTGTCTTCCAGAGGTTCGGCGGAAAGCAGTGGGGTCCTTGGCTAAGTCATTTTGTCTCACTTGTACTGTTTTTTTTTTTTCTCGTTGCTGGGCCAGTTGGTGTGCAAGTGGTTTGGACCAACTCTTCTTCTGATTGCTGAGTCAGCAACAAAATGTGCCTGCGTCATGTTTTCGGGCTTGCTGTTGCACGAGCCTTGGTAGTTAGTGTGTATGCCTGCATCGTGGACAGAGAGGAATGGAGTCGAATGGATGCTAAGCCATGGATGGATGGTTGGTTGGTTGGGCAACGGTCCTTCGGTGCGCAGGGCAAAAGTGAAAGGCCAGTCATACATGCTTAAGGCAGATCTTATTGCTGCGACAGAGGAGAGTGGTCTCTCCCATGCTCCCATCAGGTATGTTGATCTGTTTTGGACATGGAGTTTCTTTTCTTGTGGGCCGACTTACTGACCAATCTATTTATTTGTTTTTTGGAAGTGGGATTAACCCCTAACATTATTGCATCGATCTGATTCCGTCTGGGGCTTTGAAGTTTGAACTCATGGTCTGTTTATCAACAGTTACATGTGCATACCTCTTAGCCACGTGCGCTTGGCGATTGACCTACTGCCTGTTAGTTTGTAGACTGCATGGAAAATTGAAAATACCCAGTAGCGAGCCCAAGACTGGAGAATCCACATCAGCAGGCATTCCGTTACTGGCAAAGAATGTTCTTTTGGTCGATAGGTATGTGACAACAGAGTTCTTTTCGTAGTCCCAATACCAGTGATGTTTTAAGGACGCCTTACAATTGGTATTGTGACTACGTAAGGAACTGTTGTCATACATCGATCAAAGTATAAGAGCGCACTTTGCCAGGTTGGTAGGCTTACATGTTCTGGACTTCTAGTACGTTTTTCCTCACAAATTTGCTAGGTTGGTGGGCAGGCAAGCACACGTTCGGTGGGATGAGCAATCGGTTGCATTGTGCCCAGTTTTCAGAAATGCGGAATCAGGACACAACACAGGTTTGCATTTTTTGGGAGTCAGGCAGGTCACACACACTGCAGCACACATTTGCGTTTTCCCTGTGATGAGCACGATACGAACGTGCTCGAGTGTCGAAGTCTCCGAAGTGGACTAGATTGGGGTCCAAATCATCCAGATGAAGTCGGATGAAAATCCTACTAGCCCTCACAGAAGTGATGTGCCACATGCAGTGTATATCTGCAGGAGGCTCGTTCTGATCCAGAGGATAGTTGTGTTGCGTGAAAGATTGACTACGCGAGGGGAAGAGGTTTGGGATGGAGGTCTGTTTCCTTCTCTAATGAAAGGACTTCTTCTTGATGCCATATGTGAGGATCACCACATCAAAAAATTTATTGCCATGTAGGAAAATTTTCACGCAATTGAATTGCTAGGAACTTTATCTCCTGAAAGCACCAGTCCCTTTTCCAGCTATTTTGTACAGGCGTGGCGGTTATCCTGTGAGTCGGGTCTACTTKACGGAAAAAGCTGGCTATGTCAGGCAAATCATGCGCCACGCCAGTTTGGCAGGAATTGGCGCGCGGCAAGACGCGCGTCAGGAAAAAAAGGTTCAGAGGGACTCGTGGTTTTTAAGTTATACATCATCAGATCCTTAAGGCCTCGCTCCACTACTCTCGAAATGTGCAAAAGGAGAGCGAATCTTCCGCGAGAACATGGAAAGATACACTGCCATGGTTTTTGTCTTTTGTGCATATAGAGAGTAGTGGAGCGAGGCCCTTAGTCTACCACTTCACTTACTTTGCCTCCTACTGCTGCTGCGCTGCCAAATTTCCAGTTCGACGATTTTGTTGAATCAGTGATTTCAGTCTCAAGCTCTGCTTTCTGATACTTGAAAACCAATTATCGAGAGAAACTCCGGAGCTGAGCCAGTTCATTCCTCTTGGGAAGACCCCTTCGGTCACCAACTTTACCAGTCCATTCCGATGTGTGTCGTCTTCTACTGCATGGCATGTGGCCGATCAGCTGCTTGAATATGTAAGGTTTCCTCTGCTGGTGATCCTCAAGCTTGCCCTGGATCTTTACTCTTTACACTCCTGCTGGATTTTGCTTTGCGTGCAGAGGTGATGGTACGCGGATGGTGCCGGGAAGAGCTGGTGGCTTCAATGCACGAGACTTATATGATGGGTGGACTTGCATGAACAAACAGCTGATCCCCAAGGGTCTTGTGGTCAAGTCCAACTTACCTGCCAAGTAAGGACACCACTTATCAGTTGCAAACTATAAGTCAGCTGCAGCTCGATTTCCAGATTTTTCTCTCTAATCCCTCATCCCCGTTTGCTTCCTTTTGGCCCATGGATGTGTGACAATATCTGGTCGTGTTTGAAAAAGCCCCTCATGCCAGTTGCCTTCCACCTCTCCCCTCCTCCCTCCCTCCCTCCCCACCTTCCTCTCCCATCGTCTCTGCATGGGGGGTCAAACACAACCGGATATTGTCTTTGCTTTCCTCCTCTGCCCTCGTTCCTCCCCACCTTCAGCTCCCACCATCTGTCCGCCCCCACCCTTCTCCCTTCCCATCTGTCCTCCCTTCCTCTCTCCCGGCCTCCTTCCCTCGTCTGCCTTGCCTGCCAAATGTTAGGAGTGTTGGCATGGAGAGTCTATGAAGCAGAGATACAAAACGGACCGACATGGACTCCATGCACTACAGGCTGCAGGCAAGCGACCAGAAGGCAGGGAAGAGAAACCATACTTGTCACGAGAGTTGAGGCCAGGCCGACATTTCTTCCCTGTCCTTCTGCCCGTTATCTCAAATCTTGCTGAGTTGCATACCGAATAATAATCAAGTAAAGACCGTAGACAAGCGACCAGAGGGCAGGGTATAAAAACCATACTGGACAGGAGGCGTCAGGCCAGACCGATGTCTCTTCCCTCTCCTCCCGCCTGTTGTCTCAAATGTTGCTGAGTCCAATGGGCTTGTAGCTGGGCCCTTTTCTTCCCTTCACAGCCACTCGTCATGAGTCCTTGTCACACTCACCTTCCACCAAATGATCTCTCAGACTCACGTTCTGTTTCGACTGCTCCATTTCTGTTGTTGCGCCATTGCTGCTGAATGCGTCTGAAAAGTCAAGCAAAGCATGGGGCCCTACTCTCACGAAATGTAATCTTACCTGTGTACAGCTTACGAGTCAAGGCAGCTACCTTTGATGTTGGGTGACTTTCTTCAGTTGTCCCGCACCTGCTATTGTTGGTTGGATGCCTTTGTTCAGGCAGTGATGGCTTTCCCAACCAGTACTCCTTGTTGGCCAGGTATATGTTGACAGAGGAGGGAGAGCAAACAGCATATGAGTGCATGGTCCGTGCAGGACTCGCAAGCAAAGATGACGATTGCCTTGCGCAGCGGCAAGGCAGCAATGCTCTTGCGACAACAAGTGCCACAGCACCATTCCCTGGCCACACATCGTTGGCAAAGTCGGATGGACTGTGCTCAGAGAGTGGAACTGCCACGAGACCCACTAAAAGAACGAAGAAGAACCAGCCCAAGTCTTCAACAGCCACAGCCAGCAGGGATGACATGGTCGCACAAGCACAAGAGCTCGGACAGACAGCCGATGTCCATCAGACTGGAAGGACTGATGAGGAGCGACAGGGCCGTGGCCTAGCAAGTGGTGGAATGGCTAGGCCGTGTTCATTTGCTGCACCTGCAGATTCTCATTCTGTTGATATCGACCCGAATCTCAAGTCAGAGGGAATTGCTCAGGTGAGGAAGCCTGTGGGTGAGTGGTTGACCTCTTTTCAGGCCCTCCGATCTAACTAAGGTCAGTCTGTGTTATCAGTTTCTGCAGGGATATCTCTTTCCAGTGTATGGAGCATTGTTACCAATTGGGCACACATGCCCACTCCCGTGTTCTCTAGAACATGACACACGCTGATCATGGGTGTGTGCAAACTATCTTCCCCGTTGTAAAACAATCATGCCGACGATGCGTTGTGTTGGGGGGAAGATACGGTAGTAGGATTGTTGCAACAGTGGCTGGTAGCACAAAGAATCAAACGAGCTGTGTAGGAGGCAGGAGGCGGAGGAGTATCAAGAGCAAGAGGACAGCGGGGATGGAGAAATTCGAGGCAGAGGTGAATGGCAACGAAAATGGGAGAACTGGGAGGGAGGTCGAAGGGGAGGAGGATCAAAATTGGTTATGGTTGTTATGGCGTGTGTTCCTCTCAGTGGCAGTAGTCATGGTCATTCTGGCAGTTGTGGTTGTAGCGTCACAGCAATGGTGGTTGTTGTTGGTAATAGCTTGGTATGCTGATGGTTGTAGACGTCGTGGTGGTGGTGGTTAACGTTAATTTTAACGTTGGTGCCAGGAATGGCAGTAACCATCTGGTTGTCCTAGTTCTGGCAATGGTGGCGGTTGTAGTGAAAATAGTGCTGGCTATGGTTGCAGGAGTAACAGACCCAGAAGCTGCAAGAATGGTGATTGTTGTTGTGGTAGTAAAGGTGGATGTCGTATTGAGGTTGGTAGAAGAGGACAGTAGCGAAGAAGAAGAAGGAGAAGGAGAAGGAGAAAAGAGAAAGAATAATCCTGCGCCCAGAATCGGGTCTTGCATGTTGCTCTCCTGAGACCCGCAGAACCAGTTAAGCCCAGGGTGGGGGCTCACCCAATGCGTTTTTTTGGCGGTTCGTCAGTGTTGCATACCCAGACGGTCGGCAGCCCTTGACTGGTCGGCAACTACCAGTCGGGGGTCGTCGGCACCACGCAAAAAAAAACAGAAAAAAAAAGTGTCCAGAACCCCTAATAACCCCATCAACACCCCCAATACCCCCATACACCCCCCCAACACCCCCAAACC